CAGACAGAGACATAGAGACAGAAAGCAAGAAATCACCCCCCCAGGGGGGATGGTCACACTGCAGTCCCTTCTCTTCCACTCTCCTCTCGGGATCTTGGGCACACACGCACACGCGCCCAGCGTGAGATTTAACCCACCGGGTCCGAGACGCGAACCGCGGTCAACTACGTGGGAGTCCAGCGACAAAGCCATTACGCTAACTGCTGGTTCCCCTCCAGCATGTTTTTTAAACTACTGGGGCTGGGATTCAAACCATACTTGGTCTTGTGGGTTCTGGATCCCTTAACCTCTGGAGTATGAGCCTGGCCCCATGCCACTTTTACAGATGGGGAAAATGAGGCTCAGAGAGGTTAAGTAAGTTGCCCATGGTCTCACAGCTCCCCAGGCAGAGCTAAGACTGAACCTGGGCAATTAGAGTTCAGAGCAGTGAAGAGAGAAAGGACTGCACCGGGGCAAGCCTGCCCTATGAGGAAGGAGAGGAGAAAGGACAGGAGGTGGGGGCCAGCACTGACCTCGGGCCAGGTGCCGGGCTGGCACTTGGCACAGGGACCTTACTTAGCATCTGTGAAACAAAAGGAGCCTGAGCTCAGACGGGGGTGGAAACAGGGAAGGAAGCCAGCCAAAGGGGCAGACGTTTGCAAGCAGGAGGTGTCACCAGCAATGACAGCTACTGCAGTGCTGGGAAAGCTACAGCCCAGAGGCCATGAGATTCTGGAGTTGCCGCTCGTGAGCTGGGCAGGGGCGGGAGCCAGGCTACACAGGGTGGGAAGGCGGTAGGGAAGTGGCTGGCGGGCAGCAGGGAAGTGGTGGCAGAGTGCGTCCCTGTTCCAGTTGAAGGGAGGGACGGGAGAGCAGGGGCTGGAGGGGTGGCCAGGCCCAGCACCGCATGGGGCCGGCCCTTGTCCTGAGGATGAAGTGGAGGTGGGCCATGGCTGGCACAGGGCCCTGGTGTGTCTCCCGCGGCATCAGGGTCCCCCTCCCTCCTAATGAGAACCCCGCCCTCACCGCACAGTCCAGATCGGGCACCAGCTCTCCTCAGCCTTTCTGACCCTACACGGTAGGAGCAGTTCCTGTCCCCACTCTGAACTCCCATGTTCCCCAGGGTCCTTTCTGCCACCTGACGGCAGCCCAGAGGCATGATGCTGTCGTGACCCTGTGGGGTGTTTGCTTGCATCCTATTGTTTAGTCATACAGCTCGGTGTGTACGAGTGCTCTGTGGAGCTGGTCCACAGGCTGTGGTACACACTGGTTGTGGGTCTGTACTTTCTTATTTTGTTTTTAAAAGAATTATTTACTTAATTTTGTTTGTTAGTTTGTATTGTTTTTTTTTTTTGGAGAGGTTTTTGCTACGGGGCGCGTGCGCTCGCTAGACAGACAGAGAGAGACATAGAGACAGAAAGCGAGAAATCCGCCCCCGGGGGGATGGTCACACCGCAATCTCTTCTCCTCCATTCTCCTCTCAGGATCTTGGGCACGCACGCACACATTCCCAGCCTGAGTTTTAAGCCACCGGGTCTGGGACGCGAACCGCGGTCAACTACGTGGGAGTCCAGTGATATAGCCATTACGCTAACTGCTGGTTCCCTTGTTAGTATTTTTAATGTGATCAGAAAGAGAAAGGGAAAGTAAGAAAGCAAGCCACCAGGTCCGGGCCTCAAACTGCAGTCGGCCATGGGAGTCCAGTGTCTCAACCACCATGCCACCTGGTGGCTCTGCACTTTTTTTTTTAAAGAGAGGTTTTCGTCATAGGGCTTGTGCACTCACCGGAGAGACAGAGACAACAAGACAGAAAGCAAGAAATGACTCCCCAGTGGGGGTGGGGGGGGTGGCCACACTGCATTCCCTTCTCCAGTCTCCTCTTGGGATTTGGGGCACATATGCATATGCGCCCAAAGTGTTTTAAGCCACCGGGTCTGGGACGCGAACCGCGGTCAACTACGTGGGAGTCTAGTGATGTAACCATTATGCCATCTGCTGGTTCCTGGCCCTGCACTTTCTTCTCTACTGTATTGTAGGCTCCTAGGAAAGGGTGTCTGATTCCTCTGCATTCACTCAGTATGGCTTGAGCACCTGCTATGTGCCGGGCATAGCTGTGTGTGTGGGGGTGAGGGGTGGGGTATAGACCTGTGATAGACAAAGGAGGTTCAAATTCAGTGGTAGTTCTACACAGAGGAACATCCGTGCTGTGGGGACACAAGAGAGCACACCATGCACTGTAGTGGGGACATTTGCAATGGGTCTTGAAGATTGCTTAGGAGTTTGCCACAGGAACCAGCCAGAGCAGATCATCCCGGTGTACACAGAGCATATCGTTAAGGGAATGGCAAGAAGCTTGGCCTGGTCAGTGAGAGTATGAGGTTCATGCAGGGAGGCTGGAGGGATGAGGCTAGAGGGACATGCTGAGGCCAGTCTGTGATGGCCTTTGCCAAGCCAGGAAGCCAGCAGAGGGGTCTGTGAGTGGACGCGGCAGGGTAGGTTTGCTGGCGTCATGGGAGATGCGTGAGGGCAGAGGGCAGGCAGAGCACACTGGGAGGTGGTGGCCGCCATTCAGGTGACAGGACTCAGGCCTGGAGGGGCTCACTCCAGCTGCCATGCTGAGCTGAGTGGTTGGCGTGGCTCCCCGAGGACCTGGGCTGGCTGCCGAGGACGTTGGTCCTAGCACCTGAGGGCTTTGCCATAGACAGGGTGTCCCGGCCTGTGCATTCCCCACTGCACAGTCACTGCCGCGCAGCCAGTTTGCTCGCCCGGCTTTTCCTGCCACCCTGGCCTCCAGATGCTGTGTGCTGTGTGGGGACGCTGTGTGCATGTGGGTGTGCCGTGTGCCTTGTGGACATGCGTGTGCTATGAGGACGTGCCATGTACCGCATGGATGTGCCGTGTCCGGAAAGTGCGCGTCCTTCTTTATTGGGTAAATAAAGCCATATGGTTCAGACTGAAATGCCCGCAGAGAAGAGAACTGAGGAATGTGGCCTGCCCATCATAGCGTAGTGCCCACTCGTACCAACCTTCGTCCCCTCCAGTGTAGGCCCTGCCAGCCTGCTCGTCCCCCCTGCTCCAGGGAGGCAGCACCCCTGCAGGGGTTGTTCCTCACTGTCTTAGACGACCTTTGTCAGATGTACCTATGTCAGCTGGTACGGCTTAGAGGCACATGTCCAGCCCACGTCAGGTGCTTCGCGTCACTCCAAAGGCTTGGATGTCCCATCCCAGGGGCAATGGGTATCTCATGCCATAGGACATGTATGTTTGCCAGACAGAGACAGGGAAAGGAAACCACCTTCTCCCCAAGGGCATGGCCACACCACAGTGCCCTCTCCTCCAGTCTCCTCTCAGAGTTTGGGGCATGCACACACATGCATCTGGTATGGTTTTTCAAGCTGTCAGGTCTGGGACTCTAACTGCAGTCAGCCATGTGGGAGTCCAGCGCCTTAACCACCATGCCAACTGCTGGCCCCAGGCACATGCTTTTCTACTTTTGATAGACATGGCCAAATGACCCATAAAAGTTTACTGATTTTATATTCCCACCTAGCATGTACTGGGCTGCCTGTTTCCCCAGACTTCCCAAAGACGTAGTATGTATGTTTCACCATCGTGCCACTTCGACAGCTGGGAAAACGATATTCTGGTAGAGTTCTGTGTGGCATTTCTCTGTAATTCCGAGGCTAATCATTGCCCATATTTTCAAGGCTCTGTTGGGCTTTTTTGGGGTCCTGGAAGGCTGGACCATCACCCTGCGTCCCCAGACGGGTAAGCTCCATGTCTCTGAAGCATGATCTACATATGACAGGCCTCCTCTGGCCCCGTTCCCTTCACAGACAAACATGAGACGAAGCTGAAGGGTGTCATCTATTTCCAGGCCATCGAGGAGGTGTACTATGACCACCTGCGCAGTGCGGCCAAGGTCAGCGCTGGGGGACGGAGGGCACTGGCCGCGGGGCGGGGTGGCCAGCAGGACTCTGGGAGCGCAGGTCTCCAGCCTGCCCTCCGCAGAGGTTCTGGCGCAGTCTTTAGTCTTGTTCTCTTTGTCGACTCTCTTCCTTTCTCCCTCTCCCCTTCCCAGAAGAGGTTTTTCAGCTTCACTATGGTGACCGAGGTACCCCTTCCCGCATATGTACCCAGGACTAGCACACATTAACACCTCCTATACTCCACCCTCTGACCCTTGACCTCCCTCTCCCTGCCCCCAGGCCTAGGGGAGGAGTGAAGGCCTTGCAGAGAGCAGGAGGCTCCCTATGGGGGGCACTGTGAAGAAGGGACAGCTAAGGGGCGGCCTGGCCTGCAGCGACCAGCCTTGATAGAGGGGGATTGATGGAAGGAGTGTCTGTGGCTGGGGCCAGCCTGTTGCAATTCAGCCTCCCTCCTGCCCACCGCCCCCACCTCCCTGGCCCTCATCTCCGCCCCCCTGGGTCCTGGGGCCTAGCATCCTACTTGGGCTTTTTCTGTGCCCCTTTTTTGTTGAGAGGAGACTGGTCCTCACCAGAGCAACCCCGCGCATCTCATTCTCTCGAAATTCCATTTTTGAATCATCTGGGGGTGCCAAGGAGCAGTGACCCCATGGGGTGTGAGAAGGGGAACATTTTGGACTGGGGGAACAAGTTGGGACCCATTTAGGCCTCAGCCCTGAGTTCCAGGGCTTCCCGAGGGTCAGGAAGTGAACCGGAAGGTGAGGGGACAGTCTGGGTGCAGCCGAGCGCCGTCTCAGGTCTTTCTCTCCCCTTGGCAGAGCCCGAACCCAGCCCTCACCTTCTGCGTGAAGACCCATGACCGGTTGTACTACATGGTGGCCCCATCTGCCGAGGCCATGCGCATCTGGATGGACGTCATTGTCACGGGGGCGGAGGGCTACACTCAGTTCATGAACTGACCACATGGCCTCCTGGACCCTTGGGCCAGCCCCAGGCCCAGTCCCCGGCCACCTGCTCTGCTCGCTCTGGACACAGTGGCACGCGGTCCTTGTCCCAGGTTCACAGGAGCTGGGTGCGGCAGAGTGGGCAGGGATCTTGTACAAGACGACCCTGATGTCCTGTGAGGAGCTTGGCCCTAGGAGTGTCTGGGCTCTGGCCTCAGAGAACCAGCCAGGAGACACCATGTGGGGAGGTGGTTTTGCCGCCTCCTGGGAGCCCCAAACCTGCAATAACTCTTCAGGGTCTTGCCCCAGCTTGTCTTCTCTTTCCTAAAGGACAAATTATGGTACCAGAATCTGCCAAAGATCCCCTCTAGCCTCAGCGCCCTTTGAGGGCCTGGAGGGGCAGCACCGCACCCAGAGTGGGGTGACAGCTCGGGCGTGCACCCCCACGCCCTGCTCTGCCCACCAAGCTCCCCTCCTCGACACTTGGTATTACTCTGCTCTCGAGTCAAAGACCTCAAGTGTCTGAGGTCGCAACCCATCCCCTTGTCACAGACCCATCACCATGGTCTCCATAGTAACTGCTTCATTGCCATGGTTACACACTTACGGCCTTGGCTCCATGGCTCAGCCCACCACCTGGCTGTGGGCCACTCAAGGGTACGTGCCGTCATCTCTCCAGCTGCGGCAGGCCGGATTCCCTACCCCTGCCCGCACAGCCAGCCCTAGGCCGGCCCCTCCCTTCCACTCGTGCCTTCTTGGAGCCAGGAGGGATGAAGCTGGGATCCAGAGACCAGAGGACGGGAAGCTAGAGGGCCACTGTCGGTGTACACAGGGTTGTTTCTGACAGGGAAGGGATGCTCAGGTGCTCGCAGAAGGAGGGCCTGAGAGGACCGGACCTGCCGAAGGGGGGACCTGGCTGTGGTGGCTGGAGGGTACTGGAAATGGAGAGCGGAGGACCAGGCCCAGCTGTCTGGCCTCAGCCCTTCCTGCCTTAACACTAAGCCCACCTCCTGCCCTCCTTCCTGCCGTGGGGCCCACGGGTACCTGGGCTGGGCCAGGCTGGCATTCTCAGTATTTGTAAACATTCAGCAGAACAATAAAGCCTTTGGACTATGTGGATGTGCAGAAGGCCAGGCTGGGGTGTGGGGTGGGATTGTTCACAGGGCAGTGGGCCTGGGTCTTCCCCTGAGCAGGGTTTGCACCTGAGAAAAGGTCCCAGGAGGGATCCAGGCCCCAACCTATGACTCCTACTCAGTGCAAACAGAACAAACTAGGGGTGCAAGAGGCAGAAGAGGCAGGGACTGTGCAGAGGTTTAATGGGCAGGAGCTGGGCCAGACAGGAAGTGAGACAAATGGCAGGGGCATCACCAAGATAGGAGGCTGAGCAGGAGGACAACCCCCAGGCAGTGGGGTGCCAGGGAAGCCAACGAGGTCCCCGAGGTTAGTTGGTCACCATAGCGGTCTAGGAGTATCAGCACCACACCATTGGTCCAGCCGAATCCCTCCTGGAGAGGCATAGCCAGTGGGGCCAGATCTCTGGGTCTGGCCCCGCCCAGCCAGGGGGTGCCCAGGAGCACCAGCCAGCTCCTACCCAGGGGTCCACACTCACAGCAGAGGCCTTGCAGCGCACCCCAGCCCGCTCACCTGAACTTCATACTCCCCTCCACCACCTGGCTGTCCGCCGCTACTGATGTCGTACTGGGAACACACAAGAGGGGCTGCAGGTCACACGCCCAGCCCCAGGGGAAGCAAGCCCCACAGCTTTGGGAGAAGCACTCTGCCCTGCAGTACCCAAGAGTGGCCACTGGGCGCCACCACTGCCCTGGTGACCTGGCACAGGCCTTGGTAGGGCAGGAGCCAGCCCAGGGCCACTCACCTTCTCATACATGGCTGACTTTTGGGAGTAGACGTCAAAGTTAGTTCGGATCCAGTTCTGGGCCAGCTGGAAAGCCACTTGCTGGGTCCGAGGTGAAGACGACTTGGCCAGGCCTAGACCCCACCCGAGGCAGGATCTGAATCTCCAGAGCCCTTACCCCAGGCAGAGAGAGGCCCCAAGGAGGGAAAAGGGGCCCAGGTGCTAAGAGCTCCCTTCCTAGAGCCCCAATCCAGAGCCCGGCTGGGGGAAGAGGACGCTAATAGCACAGGAGAGGAGAGGGTAGGGGTGAGCCGTGAGCTGAGCAGGGGCCCAAGGGCAGAGGAGCCAGAGGAAGGGGAGGGCTGTGTGCTTCCTACACCCGTGAGGCTGGGCCCTGCACCTGGGAAAGGCCCTGGGACAGGCCCGCCCTGCCTCCCTACCTCTGATGATCAGGTCCTGCAGGGGGGCCCAGGCGTTGGGGAAGTCCCACTGCTGGCCTGTGTTCCGGAGGGAGGTGGGGATCCCATGCTGGTAGTTCAGGATCTGGTTGTCCTAGAAGGTTCCAGACAGGACCCTTGTAGGTGGGACTGGACCCTCCAGGAGGGCAGATGGCTCCCCCTGGCCCAGTTCTTCTTGGCTCATCTCTGCCCCCTGGTGGCTCCAGTGAGCACCTCAGGCTTGAGGCACTGCAGGAGGGTGTGGCTGCCACCTGCCAGGTCCCTGCTCAGGGTCAGGAGGGGACAGTCCTCCTCCAGTGTGCCACCCCTCCTGCTGCCACTCCCCTCCAGGTACTTCAGTGC